TGCTGCGTCTGGAGGTGCTCTCGGTGTCCCGCCGCGGCGGGAGCCTCTTTCCCCACAGCAGCTTCGTGAGTGGTACTCTCGGCGCTGTCGGGGTGCTACTGGAGCTACTGGAGGTGGTGCTGGGGCTTCTGGAGGTGCTGCTGGTGCTGGAGGTGCTGCTGGAGCTTCTGGAGGTGCTGCTGGTGCTGGTGCTGCTGGTGGTGCTACTGGTGTTGGAGGTGCTGCTGGGGCTTCTGGAGGTGCTGCTGGTGCTGGTGCTGCTGGAGGTGCTGCTGGTGCTGGAGGTGCTGCTGGTGCTGGAGCTGCTGGAGCTGCTGGTGGTGCTGCTGGTGCTGGAGGTACTGCTGGAGCTTCTGGAGGTGCTGCTGGTGCTGGTGCTGCTGGAGGTGCTGCTGGTGCTGGAGGTGCTGCTGGGGCTTCTGGAGGTGCTGCTGGTGCTGGTGCTGCTGGAGGTGCTGCTGGTGCTGGAGGTGCTGCTGGTGCTAGAGCTGCTGGAGGTGCTGCTGGTGCTGGAGCTGCTGGAGGTGCTGCTGGGACTGGAGACCCTGGGGCTGAGGGTACCGGTTCTGTCTCTGCTGTTTCTGGAGGTGCTGTGCGGCCGCGGCCGTACTACGTTCCGCTTCTTCAGCAGGTTCTTGGCTTCCCGCCTTCTCCTGGTCCTCCTCCTCCTCCTTTACTGAGTCCACCGACTGTCCAGTCCCAGTCGCGGTTTCAGCCAGCCTTTCCACTACCTGGTCTTTCTCCTTACTATGGACCGACTAGTGGTCTTACGGAGCGTCGTGAGCCTGAGTATCGTCCTGCGTCGCCTGTCCGTCCTGTTCGCGCTGGTCGTGTTTCGCGTCCGCGTCCTCTTCCTGTCCCTGGCACTCACTCTATGACTCTGCGTCCTTCCACTGCTCCACAGCGTGTCCCTCTGCCGTCTCCTCCTGCGTCCTCTCTTCCTGCCGGTCCGGACCCTGCGTCTGACTCCCTACGTGCTGCTAGTCCAGCTGTCACGCGTTTTCTGGCCACTGCTGTCACTGACCCTTTGTTTGAGTCCACTGTTGCGTCTGCTCTTGTTACTGAGCTTGTTGACTTTGCTGCAGCCTATCGCCTAGACTACGCCGCTAGTCTTGTTGCTGAGTCTGCGTCTGTGTCTGTTTGTCCTCCGTCTGCGAGGGTGAGTGTGTTCTTGGCACGGACGTTCTTGAGGACAGACAGGAGGAGTTTGAGTGCTTTGCTGCTTCTGTACCTCATCTCCTGTCCATGCTGCTTGCCCCTGAGGGAGACCCGGATGCACCAGACATCCCGACCCCGCGCTCTTACGCAGAGGCGATAGAGGGTCCCTACTCCTCTCAGTGGCAGGCAGCCATGGACGCCGAGATGGCTTCCTGGAAGTCCACAGGCACCTACGTCGACGAGGTTCCCCCGCCTGGGGCGAACATCGTCAGTGGCATGTGGATCTTCAGGGTGAAGCGGCCGCCGGGTTCTCCGCCTGTCTTCAAGGCGCGTTACGTTGCACGTGGCTTCAGTCAGCGATAGGGAGTTGACTTCTTTCAGACCTTCTCCCCTACCCCAAAGATGACCACTCTTCGGGTACTGCTGCACGTAGCTGCTCAGCGTGACTACGAGCTCCACTCGCTTGACTTCAGCACAGCCTTTCTACAGGGCAGCCTGCACGAGGAGATCTGGCTGCGCCGCCCACCTGGCTTCACTGGGTCGTTTCCAGCTGGTACCCAGTGGAGCCTCCGGCGGCCAGTCTACGGTCTCCGCCAGGCACCTCGTGAGTGGCACGACACACTCAGGACGACTCTTGCTGCTCTTGGTTTTGCTCCTTCCACTTCTGACCCTTCTCTGTTCTTACGCACTGACACTACTCTGCCGCCGTTCTACGTTCTTGTGTACGTAGACGACCTTGTCTTTGCTACTGCTGACACTGAGGCACTCGCCCACGTAAAGTCCGAGTTGCAGAAGAGACACACGTGCACAGACCTGGGTGAACTGACAAGCTATCTTGGCTTGCGGATCACCCGGGACAGAGCACAGCGCACCATTACCTTGACTAAGTCACACATGGTGCAGCAGGTCCTTCAGCGCTTCGGCTTCACCTACTCCTCGCCACAGTCCACTCCTCTGCCTACCGGTCACTCGCTCTCAGCTCCACCTTCGGACGAGTCCGTAGAGCCGAGCGGCCCGTATCCAGAGCTTGTGGGCTGCCTCATGTACCTGATGACTTGCACACGACCTGACCTCGCATACCCTCTCAGCCTTCTGGCTCGCTACGTGGCTCCCGGCAGGCACCAAAAGGTGCACTGGGATGCTCCGAAGAGGGTGTTACGATACTTCTGCAGTACATTGGGCATGGGGCTCGTGCTTGGAGGACGGGCTCGAGTTGTCCTCACTGGTCACGCTGACGCCTCCTGGGTTGACGACTTGGCTACGCAGCGGTCGTCACAGGGTTACACCTTCAGTCTTGGCTCCAGTTTTGTCTCTTGGCGGTCTACCCGTTCTTCTTCTGTTCTCAGCTCGAGTTGTGAGGCTGAGATCTACGCTGGGGCCATGGCTGCACAGGAGCTACGTTGGCTCACCTACCTGCTGACCGACTTGGGAGAGGCGCCTCGTTCTCCTCCAGTTCTGTACGTCGACAACAAGGCCATGCTGGCCTTGTGTCAGGAGCACAGATTGGAGCACAGAACGAAGCACATTGCTCTGCGCTACTTCCTTGCTCGAGAGTTGCAGCAGCGTGGCCAGCTTCGTCTTGCTACGTGGCCTCTCAGGCCAACACTGCTGATGTTTTCACCAAGGCACTTCAGCCTTGTGATCATCAGCGTTTCTGTACTGTGTTAGGCCTTGTACCTACTGTGCCTCACTTGCTGACTTCTTGACTCTGCTTGTACTGTACTCTATATACATATACCTGCATGCTTACACTTGTTAGGTTGTGTTCACTGTATTGTTTGCTTTCCCATATATAACTCTACATGTGAACTGGCCTTGTGGCCCTTTGCTTGTGCTTAGACTGCGTGGTGACTTTGTGATCCACCCTGAGCTTGCTTTGCTTTCTTGACTGGTCTTGTGACCCCTTGTTCTCCCCCACTTTGCCTATGGGGGTGTGTCAAACTCATATATGCTATAGTCTGTTTAGGCTGTAGTGGGGTAGTCCTTAGAGGGTACAACACTTTTGTGTTTTCTACTTGTACCCCACTTGTTTCCTAGTTCATCCATTCTTCTCATTAATTCTCATAGCAGCAGCAGCAGCGTCGGAGCGAGACCCCTTTGCCTCAGAAGCTTCGTGAGTGGTTGTTTCAGCGTGGGGCGTCCGGGGGTAGTGTTTGCTGCCCGTATGTCATTCGCACGGGTGACCGTGCTGGTCAAACATGCGGGAAGCCTCACTCTCAGCATTGCTGCTTCTCCCGCCTTGACGACGCTTGGCGCGCAGAGTTTGGTGACGAGGCTGAGCGCCCCCGCTGGGCAGAGCTGCTTAGGTCTGGAGTTGATATATTTGCTCTTGACTATGATGCTATCCTTGCTGCCATGTATGCCTTGTCTGTTAATGCTAAGGGTGACTGTTACCGGTGTGTGCCGCCCGACCCAGGTATAGAGGCTGCTGCTCTAGGTGCTAGTGAGTATGCTCTCCCTGGTACTGCACCTGGTGCGGCCTTGCACACCTTTACGCTTGACTTGCTTCGGGCATGGGGCTCGTGCTTGGAGGACGGGGTCCAGTTGTCCTCTGGACACGCAGACGCTTCTTGGGTTGAAGACTTGGCTACGCAGCGGTCGTGACAGGGTTACACTTTCAGCCTTGGTTCCGGCTCTGTTTCTTGGCGGTTTACCCACTCGTCTTCTGTTCTCAGCTCCAGTTGTGAGGCTGAGATCTATGCAGGGGCCATGGCTGCACAAGAGTTACGCTGGCTCACCTACCTGCTGACCAACTTGGGAGAGCGGCATCGTTCTTCTCCAGTTCTGTACGCAGACAACAAGGCCATGATTGCCTTGTGTCAGGAGCACAGACTGGAGCACAGAACGAAGCACATCACTCTGCGGTACTTCCTTGCTCGAGAGTTGCAGCAGCGTGGTCAGCTTTGTCTTGCTTACGTGGCCACTCGGGCCAACACTGCTGATATATTCACCAAGGCACTTCAGTCTGGTGATCATCAACGTTTCTGTACTGTTTTAGGCCTTGTAACTACTTTGCCTCACTTGCTCACTACATGATTTTGCTTGTACTGTGATCTATATATATTCCTGCATGCTTACACTTGCTCGGGTATGATCACTATACTGTTTGTTCTCTTTTATTTAACTCTGCATGTGAACTGGCGTTGTGGCCTTTGCTGGTGCTCGGAATGTGTGGTGACTTCGTGATCCACCCTGAGCTTGCTTTGCTTTTCTTGACTGGTCTTGTGACCACTTGTTCTCCCCCACTTTGCCTATGGGAGTGTGTCAAAACTGTTTTAGTGCTTACTTTGTGTATGCTATAGTGGGTCAGCCCATAAGGGGTACAACCCAATTAGGGTTAGTATTTGTACCCAACTTCTGTTCAATGCATTCATTTTCGTTCGTTATTCTGACAGGGGTGTGTCAAACTTATATAGTGCTTACATTGTGTAGGCTATAGTGGGGTAGCCCATAAGGGGTACCGTACAACCCAATTAGGGTTAATACTTGTATCCAACTTTCTGTTCAATCCATCATTCTCGTTCAGTTGTTTCAACATGTGACCCCGCCTCCTGGCTGTTCTTTTTAACATCTGTTCCTTACCCCCTCCCGCCGCCCTCCTGCTTGTGCCTCAGGCCAAAAGCGATTTTCATCTAGCAAAACTCTTGATGCTACTGGTTGTTGCAAGGAGAAAATGTGGGCGTACGGAAGTACGTTGTACCGTAGTGATCTCTCAAACCTTACAAGCTAAGATCCATCAGAATTGTCCTCATGAGTGTCATCAGTACAAAACAATAATACAGTACTATAAGGGGGAAAACGTGTAAATAAAACAAGCAAAAACGAATCCGGTGTTCGTGTGGTCAGATCAGGGCAATTGAATGTTTCAAAGCTGCCCAATCGCATCCTGAAGCTGCAACAGGGCCACCACTTGCCCCAGCAGCTCCCATCTCATCTGTCTCTGCCTCCGCTTGTGCACCTGTTAGCATTGCTGCACCAGATATCCTTGCCCCTGCCACTGATGCTGCTGCTTTTCCCAACAATGCAGTACTTGCAGTCTGCTCCAAGCGAGCTATCGCACCCATCTCCTCACCAGCACCAGCACCACCAGCACCAAAAGCAGCACCAGATCCCACCTCTCCTCCCTTTTCCTCTATTTCTGCATCGTCCCCTTCCCCTCTAACACCTCTAACCTCATCAATCTCCCACGCTCTCTCGTCCGGACCTGGCCCACCCAAACCTCCATCAGGACCAAACGCCCAGCCCGGGCCTGCGCCGAACCTCCTCGCATCCTCGAACGACGGCTCCAGGTTCGGACGAACGCCGGAGCTGTCAGCTAGGGACGGCATGGTGCCCACAGCACAGGGCACCCAATTAGCCGCAACCCTCCACCTCTTTCCTGGAAGGTTCTCCTCAGAGACATTCCTCCTTCTCCCACCTGCGCCTCCCATTCCTCCTCCCTTTTGCCTCTTCCTCCTCTCCTCTTTCCTTGTCTCTCCTTTCCTCTTCCCATTCACAGTGCCTATCCTCTCTCCCACGCCTCCCTTCCTTCTCTTTTTACCATCCCCCTTATTGTCCGACCCGGTATCAGCCCTTTCCTTTTTCGCAACCACAACTCCTCCCTGCCCCGTGCCGCGACTCGCCCAAACCACTTGCTCGATTGTACTCAGTTCCCTCTCCATTTCCCTCAGAAGCTTCTCCGTCCCTTCCTCGAAATTTGTCCCTTCCACCTCCTCCACCTCTGCTCCCTCCTCCTCACACTCCTTTTCTCCCTTTTCTCCCCCTTCTCCCCCTTCTCCCCCTTCTCCCCCCCCTCCTCCTGCCCCAACTGCCTCCCTCTCTGCTCCCTCACCTCCCTCACCCTCCGCTGCCCCTGCTCTCCCAACCTTCCCTCCTCGCCTTCTTTTCCCCCGTCCCCCTTGCTGCTTCTCTGCCAACTCCCCTCCTCGTTTTGCACTTGGAATCCATGCTTTCCCAGCTGTCTCAAAACCATGGTTTCCACTCACACTCCCTCCATCAAGTCCCAAGCCATTCTCACCCATGCTCACACTATCCATCAACCAACCTCCAACCCACATTTCCGCTCCATTTTCGGTCAGATAACCCCCCTCTAAAGCACTGCTCGCCATAAGCACATCACCGCTTGCTAGCAAAAGCTCTCGCAACCGCTGGGAATGGGCCCCCCAGGTGGAAGGGAAGGTGCCCCGCATTACCGAACCACTGGATGTCACCACACCACCGCATCCTACCGCACTGGAAGTTACTACACCAGATGTTACCACAACAGGCGCATGAACAGGGTTACCAGCAGAGTCAACAGAGCCTGCTGCCCCTCTCTCCTCCCACCACTCCATCAGCCCGTGCCTCACTAGCTGCCGAATGCGCCAGCTCATCGCCGCCCCTCTCCCTTTGCTCCTTTTGCTCCCCCCACCCCCTCCTCTGCTCCTCCTACCATTAGATCTACCTACATGGGACCTACCTCCTCCACCTCCACCCTTCCCCTCCCCCTCACCCTCCCCCTCCTCCTCGTCGCCCCCCTCCCCTTCGTTCGGGATCATACGGTTGGCAAGCGCGAGTGCCACGTCAGCAAGCACATGTGGCAGGCGGGGACACGACGGGAGGGCGTGCAGGCAGCGCGTGGCGCAGCGGGCGAGGAGAGGCAGAGGGAACCACTTGCCGTGTGATGGGGAGTCGTGAGCTGGGGCCCTGTGTGGCGATGGGTCTGTGCCACCCAGATCAAGACGCATATCGTCCAACTCGTCCTCTTCCTCCTCCCATTCTTCCTCTTCTTCTAGCTCATCCTCCTCCTCTTCCTCATCATCTTCTTCCTCCTCCACCTCCTCCGCCTCATCCTCCTCTTCCCCTTTCTCCTCCTCACAATTTTCAGGAGTCTCCCCGTCTAATCCTTCCTCCTCTTGACCAATCCATTCCATCCTATCCCCATGCCCATGTCCTTTCTTCTCCCCTTCCCCTTCCTCTTCTGCTTCCCCTTCTTCCTCCTCCTCCTCTTCCTCCTCCCCCTCTTCCTTCTCCTCCTTCCTCCCCGGCCCTTCCCACTGTCTCCTCACCACCACTTTTTGCACTGCCTTTTGCATCCCTCCCTTCTTCCCACCCCCGTCCCCCTCCTCCTCTTCTTCCTCTTCCAACTCCCCTTCCATAAGCAACCACTCCAAACACTGCATAATCTCCCTCCACTCCTCATCCATCCATTCTCCTTCCCCTCTCCCCCCATCCCCTCCCTCTTCCCTTCCACCCATCCTCCCACCCACCTCCTCACCACCCACCCCCTCCTCCCTCCCCTCACAGCCATCCCTATCAGCTCACTCACTGTATGCGACAGTAACGCAGCTGGTAACCCTCTTATATGATCCAACACCTCCCAAACTGCCTCTTCTAACCCTTCCAAATCTTCCCCTCTTTCCCCTCCCCCTCCCACCCCCGTTTGCGCCCCCCTTTCCTCACCCACACCGTCCAGACCACCCTTATCCGCGTTATAAGCAGCATTCACGACTCTCCTAAGCTGCCTCAGCAGCAGAGCAGCGAAATCGCCCATGGACCGCTCTGCACACCTCCGCAACTCTTTCAACTGCGCCTTCCTCTGCCTAGCTGGGTGCTGCATGTGTTTCCCCACCAGAATCGAGTCATCGGGCTCAGACGCTGCTGCGAACGCCAACGTTGCAGCAGCAGCCGCAACGGCGGAATCAGCAGCAGCAGAAATAGCGGCAGCAGCAGCGGCAACGGCAGGACTAGCAGGATCAGCAGCGGCAGCAGCAGCACCAGCAGCAGGAGCGCCAGCAGCAGGATTACCAGCAGCAGCAGGTCTGGGGCTGGCAGGAAACTGCCGTTTAGCATTGGCGTTGGCATTACCACGGGCAGCTGCGGTGTTGGTGGTAACAGTGAGTCGTCTAAAGGAGGAGAACTTTCCCTCTGCATCCTCGCTGCCTGCTGCCAGCATGGCCGCTTGCCTGCTCCAATAGTTGCTCACTAGCCACCCAAGAGCCTGGGGTGAAGAGAGGGAAGGGGAAAGGGAGGAATGAGAAAGAAAGAGGCGTGTTTCTCTTCCCTCTGCATCCTCGTTGCCTGCTGCCAGCATGGCCGCCTGCCTGCTCCAATAGTTGCTCACTCGCCACCCAAGTGCCTGGAGTGAGAAGAGGGGAAATGAGGGGAAATCGGATGAATGAGGGGAAATCGGATAAATGAGTTGGGGAATGAGAGGGAGAGGGACCGTTTGAGGGAGAGAGGTAGTAGTTGCCAACCAGCCACGGGCCAGCGCCCATAAGCACCATCCACACCCCTTCCTCTCACTCACCCAAGTGACTGCCGTCGCACTAGCTCCCTATGTGAATCTCTCCCTCTCTCCCAACCACCATCCACACCCCTTCCTCTCTCACCTGAGTGACAGCCAGTCGCAGCACCGGCAGTTGCAGCAGGCGATTGTGGGCCAGGGCTGTGAAACAGAAAAGAGGGACGGGGAGGGGGAGGGGGAGGGGGAGGGGGAGGGGGAGGGGGAGGGGGAGGGGGAGCGGGAGGGGGAGGGGGAGGGGGAGGGGGAGGGGGAGGGGAAGGGGGAGGGGGAGGGGAGTGGGGAAGGGAATGGGAAGTGAAGGATGGAGGCGAAGAAAGGATAATATGAGGAGTTTCATCACCGGCCACTGCAGCAGGCGATTGTGGGCCAGGGCTGTGCAGGGGAAGGGCGGGCGGGGAGAAGGGGCAGGAGACGTGAGAGCACAGCAGGCGATTGAGGGGCAAAGCCACCATCCCACCCACCACCCAACCATCCCCACCATCCCACCATCCCACCATCCCACCATCCCCACCATCCCCACCATCCCAACCATCCCAACCATCCCCACCACCCGCTCCTTCACCCCCCTCCACCACACTACAATCTAAGCCTTACAGAGCCTGACGTCCACCAGCAGTCATGGAATGCCCACGTGTGCCGCCACCCTCACCACCAACCTACCCAGTGCTGGATTGATGTGTGTGTTACACTGTGACAGAGTGTTACAGTGTACCACATTCCCCAGTGTTACGCTACCTAACTCCATTCCAGCCTTACTCACAATGCCTGACGTCCACCAGCAGTCGTGGGATGCCCACGTGTGCCGCCACCCTCACCACTGACCGACCGAGTGCTGGGTTGCGATTGTCACACAAACCACTCACAAACCTACACGTGGAAGGGCATGATAATGTGGAGACGATAAACAGACCTACTAATTTAATCAATGAAGGAAAAGACGACTCATGGCTCCTCACGACCCCTTATAACCCCTCAGAACCCCTGTCTCAGAACCCCTCATGACCACCCCTCCTGATTATGAACCTACATGTGACAGGAATGCTTATGGAAACCGACAAAGGTAATGATGATGGCAAGCAACGATGGCTCATGACTGGCAGAGCATGAATGAACCGCACAGAACCCTTCAGCACTCACATCACAACGGCTGAACGAGCACGAACCATCTGCAAATGGTACAACTCGTGTGAGAAATATGGTGCCCTGTGTGTGTTCGGCTATGGTTGGCTGGCTGGCTGGCTGACTGACTGACTGATCTGATGCACACAGCAGTGCACGACTGGCGCAGCACGTACCGCACAGAACCCCTCAGCAACTCCCATCACGTGCAAACGGCTAGACTGTGGCAAGTGTGTGACATGACATGGCACGGCATGTGTGTTGGGCTCAGCCTAAGGATGAGTGACTGACCTTATAATGACGGCAGCATATGATTGGCGGAGCACGAATGGGGGGAGCGGAGGTACTGCGTTGGGCGGCCTGAAAGGAACGGGGAGGGGTGGGGGGGGATGGGCGGGATGAATGTCAGGACCCATGCTGTGTGGAAGGGAGGAAAGAATCTAGAGATGGGCTCTAGACCTGTGTGGGCGGGATGAGTGTCAGGACCCTGTGGGGAAGCTGGGGAACTGTGGGGAACAAACCCATGTGGGGTGGAATGAAGGTGAGAGTGGAGTGGGGTCACTGGAAAAGACAGCATGCCAGCGCATTGTGTTCCAGTGTGTATCCCAAGTTGGTTCTCCGTTCAATGCCCCACTCTCAACCGTTCTAGAATGTAAAAGACCTCACTCAGCCGCATTCGAGCGATATGTTTGGACACGCACTGAGCATAGCCATTCCCTCAGCACCCATTCCAGACCTACGTCACCCGAACGTACAGCTCCGAACCTGCATCCCCGAACCTACCAGAGGTCTGGGTCCTGCAGCTGCACAGCGAGCATGCCAGCTGTCACGTCCACAGAGGCTGGAACCCTGCCCCTGATCTGCCATGCTGCCACCTGGCATTTCAAAACGTGGAGAGAATCCCAAGGGTGGAATGGAGGGGACGAGAGGGGTGTCGGGTTTGAACGGATATAGAAGTACGAGTACACGCGACGTGAAATATGCGGAACTGAGGATGCAATTTTTTGGACTTCTACGCTCACCGCGTCCCGCATCTCCCCGGGAGAATCAAGATTCGACGGTCACACAGCCGTTATCCCCAATATAAATCAGAATCCCATCGCAGGTACCAATCAACCTCTCGCTATCGCCTCCCGCCCCTCCCAGGAGGCCCACAAGACGTGATATCGGATGACGGATCACAGTACAGCGGGGATACAGCTACACCTACCACCCACCCGGTCAATCCCGAAGGAGATGGACTCGCGGGTAGCGGCGGGTCCCAGCAGGCTCGCCCGCACCGCCTCCCACTCCTCCCAGGAGGCCCATGGCACGTGGCGCAGCGCTAGAGACATAATTTTACCCTGTAACAAATGCTGCTGTGACGGATGCCGTTGCGGTAAATTCGGCCCAGGATCAGGGTTTCTATCCTTCTACCAGTGGTGGCCTGGCGTCGAAAATCGGATGTTCGATCACGGTCCTCCTCACGGCAGTTCGACTACTATTGCTCTATTTGCTCTATTCTACACCCAGTGCCTCGTGAAGGACCTAGTTGATTCCTAACCTCTTCAGGGACTGCGAGCGGGAAAGGGTAACTAGCCCCTGTCGAACGAAATAGTATGGGTTCTAGGAGACTCATGGGAATGGCGAGGGGGTTTGAGAAGGGCGACATCAGCATGTCGTCAATATCGAGGACAACAGGCAGGTTGGGCTCAAGCGGAGTTCGGTCATCAATGTAAAGGCAGGTGAAGAGCGGTTTAGAATAATGATTGATTCACCCAGGAAAGCAGCTATGTACGAAATAACGGTAGATGCTTCTAGGGATGCCATGGCATGCATCAGATATTGAAATGTTACCAGTTGAATATAAAATACTGATAGGACTTGGAAAGAGAGTACATATAATAGAGATGGGCCTTAGATGCAAGTTTTCTGTAGCAGACAGAGCATGACAACATCGTCCAATCATTAATTAATTCCATTACAGTCGATGTCGTGACATCACTCATATGTAGAAATACCAAAAAACTACAATATACACACTGAACAACAGCTCCAGGTGGTTTAGGAAAGCCTTGAATGAAACAGAACTAAAATAGGTAATGCTGTACACTAACTTTCCATGGAGCCAAACCTAATACCCACTCCAGGAGGGGCCATCATCCATAGACACCCTAAAAGAGGACTAGAGTGCCACTAAGCACAATGAAGGCCGCAAGGGTGAAGAGCATGGCTCCGAGAGTTATGAGGTGGCCATGGTGGAGGACGAATGGAATGGCGACACTGCCAATCTGGAGGGGAAGAGGACGGAAATTATGAACACATAAGGAATCATTGGATGAAAGTAATGACTCCGAGAGCTATGAGATGGCCATGGTGCAGGATGAATGGGATGGCGACACTGCCAATCTGGGGGGTATTGGCAAGGGGCAGGAGTGAAAGGCACGGCTTCGCGAGTATTTCTGGGGGGGTATTTAGAAGAGACTTGTATTTCGCCAATCTCGGGGGGTATTTAGCAGAGAATTTCTGGAACGAATCAAGGGGCAGTTGAGAAGAGAAGCACAAGGAGTGAGGGACCTAGCTGCCCGCATGTCACAGCAGTCAGCAGCAGAAATAAGCAGCGGGCGGAAAGAGTGGAGAGGGCGGGGTGGGAACTTACGGAAGAGAAGCCAGTGAGGAACTTAGCTGCATCTTGCCACCTGGTGGAAAAGGAGTGATGGAATACGGTCAACAGGGGTGATGTAGAGGATGTGAAAACGGAAGGACGAGGAAGAGGAGTGTATGATGTTGGCAGAGGGGAGGGATACGGGCCTCTTCACTCCCTGGCCAGAGGATGACGAATCACTCGCACTTTCACCCAATGCAATCACACTCATCTCAGTCACGCTCTCTTGTTACCCTGTGCCCATGGAAAAAGAGCCCAGTGGCTCATGCTTTACCAGGATCATCACCCAGATGAACACATACTACAGTCGCACTCAATACAATCCCATTCGGTACTATGATACTACCGCAGCCAGTAGTATTCCACACAATACATTCCCACTCAGTACGATCCCACTCACTACAGTCTCGCTCATTACAGTGCCACTCACTCGTTATCGGTGCCCATGAGAAAGAAATCGGATGAGTCACCCGTGGAGAAGACAAGCTGGAAATTTACCCAAACAAACAAACGCACTACAGTCCCACTCCGTACAGTCTGGCTCATTACAGTCCCACTCACTCGTTATCGGTGCCCATGAGAAAGAAGTCTGAGGAGTCACCCGTGGAGAAGAAGAGGCATGGCATGGGCAGTATCAGGTACATTAGCGCTGGAGAGGGGTGTACAGGGGTGGAGAGGGGTGCTGCGGGTTTGTGGCAAGGCAATAGCGGCATCGCACGCGCAAGCAGTCGGAAGAGTCACGCGTGGAGAAGAAGAGGCATGGCATAGGCAGTATCAGGTACTTGAGTGCTGGAAAAATAGTTGTATGGGCAAGGGGTGGGGGGAGTGGAGTGGGGGGTTGGGGTTTAGTACAGAAGAGGAAGTGGCACTTAGGCACATCAGAGCTGGGAGGGAAGTTTTATGGTAGAAGAGCGGGGGGATAGACGGTGGGGAAAAGACTTTGCATTAGCCTAGAAAGCGGCACCGCACTGGCAGTATCAGGTACGGGGGTGTACAGGGGAGCAGAGAGCGGTTAGGGATTGTACCTGAAAGGTTAGGGATTGTACCTAAAAGCTTAGGGATTGTACCTGAAAGCTTAGGGATTGTACCTGAAAGCTTAGGGATTGTACCTGAAAGCTTAGGGATTGTACCTGAAAGCTTAGGGATTGTACCTGAAAGCTTAAGGATTGTACCTGAAAGCTTAGGGATTGTACCTGAAAGCTTAGGGATTGTACCTGAAAGCTTAGGGATTGTACCTGAAAGCTTAGGGATTGTACCTGAAAGGCTAGGGATTGTACCTGAAAGGTTAGAGATTGTACCTGAAAGCTTAGGGATTGTACCTGAAAGCTTAGGGATTGTACCTGAAAGCTTAGGGATTGTACCTGAAAGCTTAGGGATTGTACCTGAAAGCTTAAGGATTGTACCTCAAAGCTTAGGGATTGTACCTGAAAGCTTAGGGATTGTACCTGAAAGCTTAGGGATTGTACCTGAAAGCTTAGGGATTGTACCTGAAAGCTTAAGGATTGTACCTGAAAGCTTAGGGATTGTACCTGAAAGCTTAGGGATTGTACCTGACTGAAAGCATTGGCCACCAGTTGTTGTAGAGCACACATCCCAGCCGAGACACGAGGTGACTCTTGAGTCGACTCGAAAGTCCCCAAGGAGGCACATTAGAGCTGGTGGGGGTTGGGTTGTACCTGACAGCATTGGCCACCAGTTGTTGTAGAGCACACATCCCAGCAGCTGCAAGCCTATGCCGACTGAGAAGAGAAACGCCAAGCCTGCGAGTCTGCTAGAGGAGAGAGTGGAGAGACGAGAGAGGAGAGAGCGGAGTGAGGAGAGAGGAGAGAGGAGAGAGGAGAGAGGAGAGAGGAGAGAGGAGAGAGGAGAGAGGAGAGAGGAGAGAGGAGAGAGGAGAGAGGAGAGAGGAGAGAGGAGAGAGGAGAGAGGAGAGAGTGGAGAGAGAAGACAAGAGAGTGGATAGAGGAGAGAGTAGAAAGGAGAGAGTGGAGAGACAAGAGAAGAGGGGAGAGAGGAGAGAGGAGTGAGGAGAGAGTAGAGAGGAGGAGAAAGAGGGAATGACAACAGAGTGGATGGAATCTCAGAAGCTGGAATAGGTGGGAGCTAACATAGAGAATGGGAGCAGGAAGAAATCAAGCGCGACCAGGCAGGCACAAGGATGATCAGACGGCTATTTTTGAGGCGCCTAAAAAAAGGGAAGAGCATGAAAGCAAGCGTGAGCAGGCACAAGGGTTATCAGAAGGAGGAAGAAGGGAGAGTGACGGGGCAACGGACGGAAAAGGGACAGGGGAGCAGGAAAGCAAGTAAAGGGAGACGGAGCTCACGCTGTGAAGAGACCAGGAGGTGGCGGCCGCAGGCACGGCGGGCAGCGTGGAAACGCGTGGGGGCGGCGATATAAGTGTGGGGGGAGTGGGAGCGGGGTGAGGGCAGCCGGAAGAAAGAGGGAGAAGGAGAGGGAGAACAGTGGAACGAAAGAGGGAGGAAGGAGGAAGGAGGGAGGCAGGAGGAAGGAAGGAGGAAGGAGGGAGGAGGGAAGGAGGAAGGAGGGAGGAAGGAGACACACAGATGCAGCAGGAAGATAGAAAGGGATTGATGAAGAAGCCGGATGGCTAAGAGGTGGACAGGTGGCATGGGCTACGAGATGGCATGGGTGCAACAAGACGAGAGTGAGGTAGGTAGAGGAGGTTATGGTGTTTCTGGAGATCCTAAAAAAGAGCGGACGGATGGTGATGAGGTGAACAGGTGGCATGGGGGTACGGGTGCGTGAGGGGAGGGAAGGTATGGTGTTTCTAAGGCGCCTTAGAAAACGGGATGGATGATGGTGAGGTGACAGGTTGGCAGGTGGACAGTTGGCATGGGTACAAGCAAGGGAGGGCTATGGTGGGCTGAAATGGGGAGGGATTGGAAGCTTCGACAAATCGATGTCGCCAACGCCTTCCTCTACGCCCCCGTCGACGCTGAGATTTTCGTCGAACTCCCGCACGGGTCCAACACAGGTCCAAACCAAATCTGTCAACTGGAGAAGTCGCTGTACGGGATCAAGCAAGCCCCGAGACTGTGGCAGCAGCATCTTGTTAGAAACCAAAGGAAGTTAGAAATGAGAAAGAGAGGGTTTGGACTAGCAAGCAGTTGAGTACATATAGCAAACCCTAAGTTGGACTGTACTCACTATTGAGTACCCCACTGCAGGCTAGACAAAGATAACATTCTGACACACCCCCATAGCCAAAGTGGGGTGTAATCAGCACAACAAGCAAAGCAAAACAAGCTCAGGGTGGATCACAAAGTCACCACACATTCTGAGCACAAGTACAAGAAGTAGCAGTTTATAGTTCACAAATATAAGCAAAGCTAGAGGCAGTCACAGATGGTAAGTGAGGAGGAGGAGGGACTGTGAGAGGAGAAGAGATAGGAGACGACAGGTGAAGCTGCAGACACACGGGCAACAGGAGCGGCGCGCACTGTGGCTACCGGAGATTGTAGCCTCCGGACTACTGGAGTAACTGGCTCCGCGACTAACTCTGAGATGCAGGAGCAACGGACCCACGGGCGACTGGCGCAGCAGGCTCGCTGGGCTACCGGAGATTGTAGCCTCCGGACTACTGGCGCTGCTGGCGACACGACAGCTGCCTCCGCCCAACATCCTCTAACTGTCTCACCCCCCTTTCACACATCCCCTGCTGCACCTCTAGCACTACTCATACTCCACCCCCTAGCACCACTCCATCGGCTCCCACACACCCACCCCCCTCAGCGGCAGCTGCAGCAGTGGGAGACGGAGGAGGAGGAGGAGTAGGGAAGACCACTCACATTCGTCACCCCCACACCCGCCACCCCCAAACCCTAACACAGGGTAGGGCCGGAGATTGGGGGGGGGGGGGGGGGGGGGGGGGGGGGGTGCGCGACGAAAACAGGAGGGGCCGATGCGTGGCCCCCGTCAGTCGCGGCGCCAACGGGGGCCCGCGCGTCCCCCCCCAGGGTCGCCTCGACAGGCGACGGGAATCGGCGCCGCGACGGGCGACGAAGAGGGGGGGGCCGCGCGGGCCCCCGTTGGCGCCGCGACGGGCGACGAAGGGGGGGGGGGGCGCGCGGGCCCCTGTTGGCGCCGCGACGGGCGACGAAGGGGGGGGGGGGCGCGTACGAGCCCCCCCGGGCGACGAAACCGCCGTGCGCCCCGGGGCGCGCGACGGGCAGAGAACCGTCGCGCGCCGCGGGGCGCACGACGGGCAGAGCAGGGCGTCGCGCTGCCCAGAGGGCGGCGCGACGGGCAGAAAACCGCCGCGCGCCCCTAGCGCGCGGCGGGAAGAAAAAAGGCCGCGCGCCATGGGCGCGCGGCAGGCAGGAAGATAGCGCGCGCCCGAGGCGCGCGATAGGTAGGATAGCAGCGGAAGATAATGGTGGGCCCATGCACAGGATCGACCCGTGAGGGTCGACCTGCTCTGATTCCATGTTAGAAACCAAAGGAAGTTAGAAATGAGAAAGAGAGGGTTTGGACTAGCAAGCAGTTGAGTACATATAGCAAACCTTAAGTTGGGCTGTACTCACTATTGAGTACCCCACTGCAGGCTAGACAAAGATAACATTCTGACACATCTTCACGCCCGCCTAATTCGCATCAGTTTTCTTCAACTGCCACACGACCAAGGGATGTATCGACTGACGAAAGGCACCAACTACATTCTACTTATCGTCTACGTTGATGACCTTCTTTACATAGGCTCCACCGACACCGTAACAACATGGTTTGAAGGGGAGCTGCAGGGAGATCTAACTCTCACCGTCGCAACCACCGTGACACAGTACCTAGGACTGAACATCGAAGACGGCGACGATGCCATCTACCTCTGAGCTGCAAAATACACTGACACTATTGCTAAACGCTTCGGACTCATTCCAACCGCTATCTCCACGCCATACCGCTACACCGACGAAAATCGAAAAGTCTCCGCCCTACTCAAACCTGCTGGCGTCCGCGACTACCAGAGGAAACTAGGCTGCCTACTCTTCGCAGCCGTCACCTGCCGACCGGATCTATCCTACTCAGCTAGCCAACTTGCTACCTACCTCAAGAAGCCTGAAGCATAGCACATGCTCGAACTTGACCGAGCACTTCACTATCTCGTCAGCACTCCGACGATCGGACTCACCTACCACAAGACCAACACCGCAACACCTAAGCTAATCGGCTACGTCGACGCCAATCACGCTGGAGACTCCGACAACAGACGGTCTCGAACCGGCTACGTTTACAGACTCGAACCTATCGGACCTATCTCATGGCAGTCGAACAAGCAAGAACTAATCGCTCTCTAGCAGAAGCAGAATATATCGCACTCTGCTCAGCCACCAAGGAAGGGCTATATCTTCGCGAACTACTGGAGGAAGCAAAATTGTGTCAGAATCCCAACCACTAGACCATTGGGTTAAAAGGGCTTGTTAAGTAGCGGGTCAGTGCGCCCATAACCCCCCAGGCCAACATGCCTGTAACCCTTCCCTAGGATCTATCGGGGATCACCAGTGGACCTCTGACACCCCCCCGTACTGGGATGCCTGAAGTGCACACACTGGGATTCGAACCCGAGACCTTCGCTCTGATACCATGTCAGAATCCCAACCACTAGACCATTGGGATAAAAGGGCTTGTTAAGTAGCGGGTCAGTGCGCCCATAACCCCCCAGGCCAACATGCCTGTAACCCTTCCCTAGGATCTATCGGGGATCACCAGTGGACCTCTGACAAATTGGCCCAGTTACCCAACTTCTCTCTCTTCTGCGACAACCAATCGGCCATTCGCATAGCGAACAAAAACGGGTTCGCGAATCGAACGAAGCACATCGCCCTTCGGTACTTTTTCGTAAAAGACGAAATCAAAAAGGGAAGACTCGAGCTATCCTACTGTCCCACTTCCGAGATGGCAGCTGATTACTTGACCAAGAAACTCGGAAAACAGAAGTTCGAGTACTGCATGCTGCTGACTGGACAAGGACACGCCATCAGCAGCGATTCTCCAGAAGCGAAGGGGAGTGTTGGAAACAAGTGATTTAAAACGCTTCTGTCGTATCGAAACTTCAACACGAAACGGAACTAACTACAGCGAAGAAACACTCGAGTCAACCAAGGCAGCCGTCGGAGGTTACGCGAAGATCAAAGGTCTCCGACCTTTGACTTGACAAAACGTACAGTGCGACAGCAAGGACACATAGCTGACTCGTTACTGAGCAGTTACCCGAGTCGGCACTGTATCGAACCGCAACAGCAAAAACAGTTAAAGTAGAACTTGTTATATTCCTTGTAATCATTTAAAAGACTTGTATCTCTTTGCTATTATTCAACTTATCTTGTTCTCACACACCAGTACAAGGTGGTTCAAGGCAACCTTTTTATTAACGCTTCCGCAATTACATCTCCACGTCAACACCTGATCCTAGTCCTGAAAGATCCTAAGGGCTTTTATCAGCCCAACAGATTGCACTATCGAAGCAAGGGTACAAAGAGCGAAGAATATATAGCGAAACTACAGTGGTAACGGTAATGTGTGGAAAATAGGGTGCGCGACGGGCTTAGTGCTGAGGTTGGGAATTGTCGAGGCGGAGGTCCGGAGCGCGGGTTACCAACCGAACCGTGAGGTTGGGTCGCGTCGTGAACAGTGGCGGGGATAGTGTCGAGGCGAGTGTCGCGAGTGGTAACGGATTATTGTTGGGTGCTGTTGGCGGGAAACAGTGGTGTATGCGCTGAGCAGGGACGCTAAGTAAGGAAAAGGAATTTTCCTTAGTGATATGTAAATGCTTAAGATTAACGTCATAACTCATTGATGAAAACTGCGAACCGTTCCTGACCGCGAGTTAACAGCTGGAACTGTGAGTTATGACCTGTGCGACAAGCGAATGGTCGGCTACAAGGCTCCATCCGACCATTGCAGTGAAGGAAATTCAATCATTTTCACAGCTCACACACCGTTCTTCGTCAACTTCGATTCCACCACTTTCGTGATGCTCGCTGTAAATTTCGCTACTGTGATTATCCCCCCACCCGCAGAAGCTTGCGGCACAAATGCACCAGGCATAACCACCGACCTCTGTCAGCGGTCACCAGATTCTGTGTTACTGGATGTGCAAAAAGTGTTGAACCAGCAGGCTCGCAAGCACCTGCGACGAACAAAAGAGGAATTCCAGTAACATTACTCCGTGCGAACAAATGAAGTGCGAATGTGCATAATTTCGCCAAATTTGCCGCCACGCGAAGGAACCTCCCCCCCCTGCCTGACCCGAAGCGCTTGTTTGGACAGGCTGGATCATCGTGGAGCAGGCAGCCGCCCTAAGCTTTCAGTTCAACAACCAAATTGCAAGCTAAGGCCTGGTTTGACAATGGGGGGACATGCTAACTTGCTGACATCTAGCTTTCGTGGAAATTCAGTTTTCGCGGTTATAATGGCTCTCGATCGATGTACACCCTCGGAGACCGATGCAGTGAGTCCAATTCCACCTCCGCAGGTTACGCCATGTATTGCGCTGCAGCCGTGAGTTGCAGCGGAATTAGTAGCGACAATTGCTCTCATGGGGCACAGGCGGAACCCCTCGTTCCGCCAAGAAGCTCCAATTTTCCCTCGTTATAGTAACGCTCTGAGTTCCACTGTAAGGAGGAGACGCTGTAACGGTCGAATTCGTCGGAGCTACTATGATAGCTTCGCAGTCCTCCTGCTACTCGTCGCGCATTGCTCCCCCGTAGCACGCCGGCTCGGCGCCGCCGCGACGACCACCGTGGTTTCAGAAACAGAAAGAACCTCCCCTGGTTGTACCGTGTCGCCATCATCCGTGTCGTGCCCCGGGGGATTCGCCGCGACGGACGGCCGTGAAGGTGGCGTGTTCGTTCTGAACGGTCATGCATATATCGCGGACGCGGACCAGGGGAGCCCCGCGCTCGTCCTGGGCGCGCCGGACGGCGGTATTAGTAGCGCAAGTAGCGCGGAGGCCAATGATAGTGGATTCGCGGGTTCCGCATTTACTTCCGCCGCGCTCTCGCCTCCGCTCGGCGGCGAAGGTTCGGCGCTCTCGTTCTCGGCGCGCTTCACGTTCCAGCTGGAGGGGCAGAACGAGGCTGACGTGGCAACGGGGCTTGCTTTCGTCATCACAGGCGGACCCAACACCGCCGTCGGCCCACCCAGGTGAGGTACAACATCCCCCAGATGCTGTCATCTCGCACAGGTGAGGTACAAACTTCCCCAGATGCCACTTCCCCCTCGCTCACTCGCCCCTTAACCCCTTTGAGACTACCCCTTTCCCCTTTCCCTTCACCCTCTCCTCCCGTCCGCTCCCCCCTCCCATTACCCCTTCCCCCCCTTTTCCTCCCCCATCCTCACATCCCTCCCCCATCCTTGCCGGCGACGGCGGCGCCGCCTTCAATGCCAGCCTGGCAGTGGTGCTGAGCGGCCGTCCACCCCTCGCCTCTCTCAATCCCCCTTTCCTTTCCCTTCCCCCTCCCCCGGCCCCCCCCATCTCCCCTCCCCCAGTCTTGCCGGATACGGCGGCGCCGCCTTCGATGCCAGCCTGGCAGTGGTGCTGAGCGGCCGCCCACCCCTCCCCTCTCTCAATCCCCCTTCCCTTTCCCTTCCCCCTCCCCCGGCCCTCCCCATCTCCCCTCCCCCAGCCTTGCCGGCTACGGCGGCGCCGCCTTCGATGCCAGCCTGGCAGTGGTGCTGAGCGGCCGCCCGCCCATCTCTGCCGGCATGCTGCTGGGCGGCAAGGCGGGCGGCACTGGCGGATGGGCGGCTCTCAACCCCTCTGCGCCCGACGCACCGCATGTGAGCTGAAGGGAGGGAGGGAGCATGGGGGGGGAGAAGATGGTCCAACCTATGTAGGTTGAGCTTATAGGGAGAGACGTCGCACCCCGTGTGCATGACTTGACGGTCCTGTGTGTTGGTGGGTGGGGTATTCCGACTATGACTTGACGCCTGGGTGGACTATGACGCCTGCCTCACCTCCCTTCGAGCTAATGCAGCCCCACCCACCCCTTCCCCCATTCCGATCCACCCTTTGTCCCTCCCCACCTTCCCCTCCCCGCCCCCAGCTCCTAGTCTCGTGGTTGCAGCAGCACACATTGACGCCTCCTGCCACCATTATCACCCCCACTCCCTCCCCTGACCCTTTCCTCCTTTTGTTTCCTCCCCCTCCCCCCCCCGCCACCAGCTGCTAGTCCCGGGGGTGCAGCAGCACGCCTGGGTGGACTACGACGCCTCACTCACCTCCCTCCGCCTCTTCCTCAGCGGCTCCTCTCCCACCAAGCCTGCAGCTCCGGTGCTCTCCGAGCCTGTCGACCTGGCTTGGGCGCTTGGCTTGGCACCAGATGGCAGCTGCGCGGGCGGCGGGGGCGGGGTGGCGGTGGGCGGCGGTGGTTGTCTGTTTGTGGGGTTCACGGGAGGGACTGAAGCAACGGATGAAGCTGAGATGGCTGCAGCAGGGATTGCAGAGGGAGTGGCCAGTAGAAAGAATGTAATGCAATTCAGGATTCAATCTTTCAATTTTCAATTTCACACCTCTGCTGCTGTTTTTGCCTCTGCCGATGCTGCTGCTGCCACAGCTGAAGCCACCAGCCTGACAGGCTTGACCGAGCCAACAAGCTCGGGAGCACCGAACGTGTTCCTAGCTTCGGCTGACAGCGGCAGTGCAACGGTAGCTTCGTTTGGAGCCACAGACCCCTCTGCTGCTGCCACAGTTGATGCTACAAGCACCGGCTCACGTCTCCCCCGCTCGGCCGATAGCGCCAGCGCAACGGTGGCTTCATCCGGAGCCACGGACCCTTCTGCTGCTGGTGGCGACCTCTTCTCCATCGCCTCTCTTGATGCTGGTTCCGGCACTGCTGCTGCCACTGCCACAGCTGCTTCTGACCCTCCCCCCTGCAACGTCACTGCCACCAGCATTTCCTGCGTTGGCTTCTCCTCTTCCTCCTCTGCTTCTCCCGGTCTCTCCTCGCCCTTCTTCGTCCTCTCTGGGGATGCTCAGATCGGGCCCGGACCGAATTTCCCCATCCGGCTTGACACAACCACCAATGCTGCTGGCTGCGCTTTTTCCATTCCGAGCCTCAGCCTCAGCCTCGGCACCGAGGCAGGCGGGAGCGTTGGTGCAGGACCGGTGGCGTTTGAGGCGGAGTTATCGGTGTCGTTTGCAGCGAGTGCGGATTACAACAGCTGGGGCAGTCGAGGGCTGGCGTTTGTTCTCACTGCCGGGGAGAAGACGGCTTGTGGCCGCAGCTCTGCCAGGTGAGCAGTGGTGGGGATGGGTTAAATGTGGTGTGGTGTGATTTTATGAGCTTCCAATTACGAGCAGTCAAGGGCTGGCGTTTGTGCTTACTTCCAGGGAGAACGGTGGTCGCAGCTCTGCCAGGTGAAAAGCGGTGGAGCTGAGAGCGCGGCCCTCCCAACTCAGCCCCCACTCCCACCCCTCTCTTCTCCCTCCCTCCCACCAGCAACATAGGCTATGGATCAGCTCCCAACGCGTCCTTTGCAAAGAGCATAGCGGTGGAGCTGAGGGCGCGACCGACAGCGTGTGTGGCGGTGGTGGTGGGCGGGCAGGTGGCCGGCGACAACTGTGCCGACTCCGATGCCATGGCGCTGCTGCCCCCTGAACAGGTAACACCTGCTCAGGTAACACCTGATCGGAAAAACACGGTTCGGTAACAGCTGGAGCATTGTGGTGGTGGGCGGGCAAGTGGCCAGTGAAAACTGCCCTGACTCTGATACCATGGCGCTGCAGCCGCCTGCTCAAGTGATTGTGATTCGGTTTGATTCGATAGGGTAGAACTTTCTTGTTCTTGCTCCAGTTGAGGCAACTCTTGGTAGGTACCCTGCACAGTATGACAGTTTAGTTCAACTACCCCCATCCTCCCCCACTCCCCCCACCCACCCAGGCGTTCACGCTGAACGAGCCGCAGCACGTGTGGGTGAGTTACGACAGCAGCAGCGGCGCGCTGCAGGTGTTTGTCTCACCCGGGGCGGCCACCAAGCCATCGGTGCCCGTGCTGGTGGCGCCCATCGATGTGGCGGCCGTGCTGGGCGGCACGACGGGGCTGTCGGTTGGCTTTACAGGCGCGTCGTGGTGGACGTGGGTTGACGACCTTGAAGACCACATCATCCACTCTATGTCTTTTCAAGCTGGTGCGTTTTACATCTTATGAGAGGGGGGGGAGGGGTTTGGGGGGTAAGGAGGAGGAGGGGGGTGTGGGGGGGTAATGGGGGAGTGCGGAGACGGGGGAAAGAGGGGATGCTGTGGAGGAAGGGACAAGTCCGCCACGCCCTGAGCGGCACGGCGGGGCTGTCGGTGTCGGATGGCTTCACAGGCGCGTCGTGGTGGACGTGGGTGGACGACCTTGAAGACCACATCATCCACTCCCTCTCCTTCCAAGCTGGTAACCACATCATCCACTCCCTCTCCTTCCAAGCTGGTAAGATACATATGTGTAATATATATAATGTATGTACATGTATTCATATGTGCATGTCTGTATACATGTATATGCATACATACATACATACATACATACATACATACATACATACATACATACATACATACATACATACATACATACATGCATGCATGCATGCATGCATGCATGCATGCATGCATACATACATACATACATACATACATACATACATACATACATACATACATACATACATACATACATACATACATACATACATACATACATACATACATACATACATACATACATACATACATACATACATACATACATACATACATGCATACATACATACATAATACATACATACATACATACATACATACATACATACATACATACATACATACATACATACATACATACATACATACATACATACATACATACATACATACATACATACATACATACATACATACATACATACATACATACATACATACATACATACATACATACATACATACATACATACATACATACATACATACATACATACATACATACATACATACATACATACATACATACATACATACATACATACATACATACATACATACATACATACATACATACATACATACATACATAATACATAAATACATACATACATATATGCTGGTAAGAACACATTATCCACTCTCTCTCCTTCCGAGCTGGTATTATTATTATTATTACTATTATTATTACTGTTATTGTAACGTTATTCTATTTTTATAATTGTTGTTGGACACGGGGGCAAATGAGGGGAGTGGGGTGAAGGTTGGGTAGTGGGGTGGATGCTTTGGACGAAGGCACACCGGACCATTCTGTTGGGCTTCCTCTGCTAATCATTCTCCGTGTTTGTTTACCACCCATCCCATCCCCCTCCCATCCCCTCTCCCTCCAGTTCCCCCCGGGTCCCAGCAGTCACTGCCGCCTTCCCCTGCGCCCACCACGTGCCACCTCGCCCCCTCCAACACACGTCTCACCTGCTCGGGCTTTGCGGGCCACTCAGCATGGCGCCTCAACGGATATGCCCACGTGGGGCCCGCCCCCTCCTTCCCCCTCGTCCTCGACACCGGCGGCACCGCTGGCAGCGCACTCACCCTCGCTGACCTGGCGCTCTCGTTGGACTCGTCCACGTCAGCAACAACAACAAGAGGAGCAGGAAAGAAAGCAGCAGGAGCAGCGGCATCAGCAGTGGCGTTTGAGGCGGCGTTTGCGTTCTCGGTGTGGACGGAGACGTCGTATGGCTACCGGGGCAGCAGAGGGCTGACGTTTGTTGTCACCAGCGGCGAGAAGACTGCTTGTGGGTCGAGTGCCATGGGGTGAGTGAGTTGCGGAGGCGTGGAATCACAAGAATTCCTTAAAAAAAAAAAAAAAAAAAAAAAAAAAAACACGTCCTTCGTTGATCAAGTTCAACTCGTGCCGTGCCTGCCATCCCTACTTTCTCAAAAATCTACTTTCTACACCGCGCTTCACATTCCTCACTTGCTCCTCTGTCACTCATCTCCACCTTTCCTCCTCTTCCCCACCCCACTCTCAGAGCCATAGGGTACGGGGGAGCGGCGCCAGGGGCGTTCAACGGGAGTGTGGCGGTGGAGGTGCGGTCGGGGCCCACCTCGTGTGTGGCTGTGGTGGTGAATGGCATGGCTTCAGGCGACAACTGCGCTGCTGCTGACCACATGACCGGCCTCACAGGAGACCAGGTCGGTTCAGTGCGGTGAATTGCGGTTTGGTGCTGTGCATTGCAGCACAATGCAGTGAATTGTGGCTTGATGCAGCCTTCTGCAATGTGACGGGATTTTGTTTGGCGAAGTGAAGCGTGGGTGGATGGCCGGCAAGAAACATAGAAATGCGTTTTGAGTCGATTTTTGAGGCGCCTCAACTTCTGAGGGCGTTCGTGGCAGGGCAACTGTTCACGTCGTGTTGGTGGCAACTATTCCCAAAAACGCGCATGCTGCTGGCATTCACCTTCCCATTTTGCCCTCCCTTATCCCCCTTCTTCATCCTGCCTCACTGCTTGACTGCTGCGACTACAAGCAAGCCTTTTTTGAGGCGCCTCAAAAATTGCCAAATGCTTATGCCACTATTTGCCACTCTCACTGTTACAACTGCTTGACTGCTGCGACTACAAGCAAGCCTTTTTTGAGGCGCCTCAAAAATTGCCAAATGCTTATGCCACTATTTGCCACTCTCACTGTTACAACTGCTTGACTGCTGCGACTACAAGCAGGCCTTTTTTGAGGCGCCTCAAAAATTGCCAAATGCTTATGCCACTATTTGCCACTCTCACTGTTACAACTGCTTGACTGCTGCGACTACAAGCAGGCCTTTTTTGAGGCGCCTCAAAAATTGCCAAATGCTTATGCCACTATTTGCCACTCTCACTGTTACAACTGCTTGACTGCTGCGACTACAAGCAGGCCTTTTTTGAGGCGCCTCAAAAATTGCCAAATGCTTATGCCACTATTTGCCACTCTCACTGTTACAACTGCTTGACTGCTGCGACTACAAGCAGGCCTTTTTTGAGGCGCCTCAAAAATTGCCAAATGCTTATGCCACTATTTGCCACTCTCACTGTTACAACTGCTTGACTGCTGCGACTACAAGCAAGCCTTTTTTGAGGCGCCTAAAAAATTGCCAAATGCTTATGCCACTATTTGCCACTCTCACTGTTACAACTGCTTGACTGCTGCGACTACAAGCAAGCCTTTTTTGAGGCGCCTCAAAAATTGCCAAATGCTTATGCCACTATTTGCCACTCTCACTGTTACAACTGCTTGACTGCTGCGACTACAAGCAGGCCTTTTTTGAGGCGCCTCAAAAATTGCCAAATGCTTATGCCACTATTTGCCACTCTCACTGTTACAACTTCTTGACTGCTGCGACTACAAGCAAGCCTTTTTTGAGGCGCCTCAAAAATTGCCAAATGCTTATGCCACTATTTGCCACTCTCACTGTTACAACTGCTTGACTGCTGCGACTACAAGCAAGCCTTTTTTGAGGCGCCTCAAAAATTGCCAAATGCTTATGCCACTATTTGCCACTCTCACTGTTACAACTGCTTGACTGCTGCGACTACAAGCAAGCCTTTTTTGAGGCGCCTCAAAAATTGCCAAATGCTTATGCCACTATTTGCCACTCTCACTGTTACAACTGCTTGACTGCTGCGACTACAAGCAAGCCTTTTATGAGGCGCCTCAAAAATTGCCAAATGCTTATGCCACTATTTGCCACTCTCACTGTTACAACTGCTTGACTGCTGCGACTACAAGCAGGCCTTTTTTGAGGCGCCTCAAAAATTGCCAAATGCTTATGCCACTATTTGCCACTCTCACTGTTACAACTTCTTGACTGCTGCGACTACAAGCAAGCCTTTTTTGAGGCGCCTCAAAAATTGCCAAATGCTTATGCCACTATTTGCCACTCTCACTGTTACAACTGCTTGACTGCTGCGACTACAAGCAAGCCTTTTTTGAGGCGCCTCAAAAATTGCCAAATGCTTATGCCACTATTTGCCACTCTCACTGTTACAACTGCTTGACTGCTGCGACTACAAGCAGGCCTTTTTTGAGGCGCCTCAAAAATTGCCAAATGCTTATGCCACTATTTGCCACTCTCACTGTTACAACTGCTTGACTGCTGCGACTACAAGCAAGCCTTTTATGAGGCGCCTCAAAAATTGCCAAATGCTTATGCCACTATTTGCCACTCTCACTGTTACAACTGCTTGACTGCTGCGACTACAAGCAGGCCTTTTTTGAGGCGCCTCAAAAATTGCCAAATGCTTATGCCACTATTTGCCACTCTCACTGTTACAACTTCTTGACTGCTGCGACTACAAGCAAGCCTTTTTTGAGGCGCCTCAAAAATTGCCAAATGCTTATGCCACTATTTGCCACTCTCACTGTTACAACTGCTTGACTGCTGCGACTACAAGCAAGCCTTTTTTGAGGCGCCTCAAAAATTGCCAAATGCTTATGCCACTATTTGCCACTCTCACTGTTACAACTGCTTGACTGCTGCGACTACAAGCAGGCCTTTTTTGAGGCGCCTCAAAAATTGCCAAATGCTTATGCCACTATTTGCCACTCTCACTGTTACAACTGCTTGACTGCTGCGACTACAAGCAGGCTTTTTTTGAGGCGCCTCAAAAATTGCCAAATGCTTATGCCACTATTTGCCACTCTCACTGTTACAACTGCTTGACTGCTGCGACTACAAGCAAGCCTTTTTTGAGGCGCCTCAAAAATTGCCAAATGCTTATGCCACTATTTGCCACTCTCACTGTTACAACTGCTTGACTGCTGCGACTACAAGCAAGCCTTTTTTGAGGCGCCTCAAAAATTGCCAAATGCTTATGCCACTATTTGCCACTCTCACTGTTACAACTGCTTGACTGCTGCGACTACAAGCAAGCCTTTTTTGAGGCGCCTAAAAAATTGCCAAATGCTTATGCCACTATTTGCCACTCTCACTGTTACAACTGCTTGACTGCTGCGACTACAAGCAAGCCTTTTTTGAGGCGCCTCAAAAATTGCCAAATGCTTATGCCACTATTTGCCACTCTCACTGTTACAACTGCTTGACTGCTGCGACTACAAGCAGGCCTTTTTTGAGGCGCCTCAAAAATTGCCAAATGCTTATGCCACTATTTGCCACTCTCACTGTTACAACTTCTTGACTGCTGCGACTACAAGCAAGCCTTTTTTGAGGCGCCTCAAAAATTGCCAAATGCTTATGCCACTATTTGCCACTCTCACTGTTACAACTGCTTGACTGCTGCGACTACAAGCAAGCCTTTTTTGAGGCGCCTCAAAAATTGCCAAATGCTTATGCCACTATTTGCCACTCTCACTGTTACAACTGCTTGACTGCTGCGACTACAAGCAAGCCTTTTTTGAGGCGCCTCAAAAATTGCCAAATGCTTATGCCACTATTTGCCACTCTCACTGTTACAACTGCTTGACTGCTGCGACTACAAGCAAGCCTTTTATGAGGCGCCTCAAAAATTGCCAAATGCTTATGCCACTATTTGCCACTCTCACTGTTACAACTGCTTGACTGCTGCGACTACAAGCAGGCCTTTTTTGAGGCGCCTCAAAAATTGCCAAATGCTTATGCCACTATTTGCCACTCTCACTGTTACAACTGCTTGACTGCTGCGACTACAAGCAAGCCTTTTTTGAGGCGCCTCAAAAATTGCCAAATGCTTATGCCACTATTTGCCACTCTCACTGTTACAACTGCTTGACTGCTGCGACTACAAGCAAGCCTTTTTTGAGGCGCCTCAAAAATTGCCAAATGCTTATGCCACTATTTGCCACTCTCACTGTTACAACTGCTTGACTGCTGCGACTACAAGCAAGCCTTTTATGAGGCGCCTCAAAAATTGCCAAATGCTTATGCCACTATTTGCCACTCTCACTGTTACAACTGCTTGACTGCTGCGACTACAAGCAGGCCTTTTTTGAGGCGCCTCAAAAATTGCCAAATGCTTATGCCACTATTTGCCACTCTCACTGTTACAACTTCTTGACTGCTGCGACTACAAGCAAGCCTTTTTTGAGGCGCCTCAAAAATTGCCAAATGCTTATGCCACTATTTGCCACTCTCACTGTTACAACTGCTTGACTGCTGCGACTACAAGCAGGCCTTTTTTGAGGCGCCTCAAAAATTGCCAAATGCTTATGCCACTATTTGCCACTCTCACTGTTACAACTGCTTGACTGCTGCGACTACAAGCAGGCCTTTTTTGAGGCGCCTCAAAAATTGCCAAATGCTTATGCCACTATTTGCCACTCTCACTGTTACAACTTCTTGACTGCTGCGACTACAAGCAAGCCTTTTTTGAGGCGCCTCAAAAATTGCCAAATGCTTATGCCACTATTTGCCACTCTCACTGTTACAACTGCTTGACTGCTGCGACTACAAGCAAGCCTTTTTTGAGGCGCCTCAAAAATTGCCAAATGCTTATGCCACTATTTGCCACTCTCACTGTTACAACTGCTTGACTGCTGCGACTACAAGCAGGCCTTTTTTGAGGCGCCTCAAAAATTGCCAAATGCTTATGCCACTATTTGCCACTCTCACTGTTACAACTTCTTGACTGCTGCGACTACAAGCAAGCCTTTTTTGAGGCGCCTCAAAAATTGCCAAATGCTTATGCCACTATTTGCCACTCTCACTGTTACAACTGCTTGACTGCTGCGACTACAAGCAAGCCTTTTTTGAGGCGCCTAAAAAATTGCCAAATGCTTATGCCACTATTTGCCACTCTCACTGTTACAACTGCTTGACTGCTGCGACTACAAGCAAGCCTTTTTTGAGGCGCCTCAAAAATTGCCAAATGCTTATGCCACTATTTGCCACTCTCACTGTTACAACTGCTTGACTGCTGCGACTACAAGCAGGCCTTTTTTGAGGCGCCTCAAAAATTGCCAAATGCTTATGCCACTATTTGCCACTCTCACTGTTACAACTTCTTGACTGCTGCGACTACAAGCAAGCCTTTTTTGAGGCGCCTCAAAAATTGCCAAATGCTTATGCCACTATTTGCCACTCTCACTGTTACAACTGCTTGACTGCTGCGACTACAAGCAAGCCTTTTTTGAGGCGCCTCAAAAATTGCCAAATGCTTATGCCACTATTTGCCACTCTCACTGTTACAACTGCTTGACTGCTGCGACTACAAGCAAGCCTTTTTTGAGGCGCCTCAAAAATT